CAACCTGGGAGCATAAAAAGCCAAAGGTGAGACCTGAACAGACTACAGAGAATGAGGTCATGGAAGCAAAAGGGGAAGAAGGGAGGGTTTGGGCCAGACATTAAAAGAGCAGCTTCTGCCATTCTATACTAGTTACTGGCTTAACCTTTATCATCAGTTACCAGAAAAAGAGGTGATGGCTTGGAAGAAACAAATTCAGAGCACAAGAACAGCACTCCCAGCCATACCTGAAGATGAAAAGCCTTGGCAATGGACAAAAAGAAGAGTGCCACTGTGAGCCTTGAGACATCCCTTCTCAAAGGCAGAACCTAGTAGAGTCCCTGAGGCCACGACTTGGTATATATCACATGAGTCAACCCATGTCCACGGATCTGGTTAGTGAATAAGAAGCCATACAGAAAAACTGAAGAAGGTTTTTCATTTTCTTCAAAATGTAGTATTTCTAACTTTTTTGAATAACTGACACCAGAAAAATTAAAGCTGTCAGTAAATATTCCTCTGTGAAGTCTAACACTTCAGGACCGTAAAGGAGGAGGAGCGGGAAAGTAAAGCTGATGGACAAAAGGAAAAAGAGTATTGAGAGGCAAAAGTTAACCGTGACACCTAAAAGCTCCATCATTTTCCTTAATCCATGATAACATCAAGTGAATAAAAAATGTTTGTGAGGGGAATTTTTACATTGGCATAAATATATCTCTCATCACTGTCTGTAGAATAGTCTACAAAGTTAAAGGAAGCATTTTAAATAAGTATTTTAGTAAGTGCCTCCAATAAGTCTATATTCAGTCCTGTTTCTTGCATGTTACATACCCAAAATAATTACAATTCAGGACTTTTTGCCAACAAATTTTACCTCGGTTTTAAAATGGAAGTAAAATCTTGGCACAAATGATCTCTATAATGAGAATGATAATCATCGTTTTATAGCAAAGCCACCACAGAATGTTAAGCATATGGTATCTTAAACTATTCCTGGACATGTGCCTTTCAGCAAACAAAGGTTCCTGTCACCATCAACTCAGTCCCTGCGGGAAGTACTGCTGCAAGTATTCTTACCAACTATTCAACAATTCATTTCTCTCTCAAATCTTCGTGGGTTTTCTACATATGGTTAGACTTTCAGGTTCAAAAATTACCTCTTACTTCAGCTGTCTCACCTGCTTAGTGTAATCAAATTATATCCCCTCTTAATATCACTTTATAAACTGACATTTATCAGTTACAACAGTATTACTTCGTAAAGCCAGCATTTTTATTAAGCACGCCCTATCAAAAGGCTGATGAATCAAACAGAGTTAGGCTGTGAATGATAAAAATTATTACTTATAGGTAAAATGAAAGAAGATCTATATTTCCATCAAAACCTGATATAATTTACCACTGGCATATGAAGACAAAAATCCATTTGATTACATGGAGCAATAATTGCTAAGGCCAGATCTGGTCTTGTCCCTGAAGCCATATTAAGCATTTCTTAATCAATTGTCTTAAAGCAATATGATTTCTCATTTTAAGATAAATTTTAAAATGTGCTTACCTTATAAAAATTCCACACTGAAAGAGATGAACTAGAAAAATCCATTTCAGCTTCCTAGTATTGGTACCTTCCCAGTCATTTTTAAACCACTCATAACTGAATATCTGAGTTATTAATGATGAAAGACCTCTAAAACACAGCATCAATATACTCCAAGAATATTGTCCTTGACAGAAATATTTACTAGCTACCCAGAAGTCTACTCCAATATCAACTACATAAATTATCATTCCACCAACTAAAAAAATAAAATTCTGTTTAGTAAATTTCATCATGTATTAGACTGTCACTGTTGTCACTCTCTCCTCACTTCGTGTAAACAAAAGTTAGAAGTAATCTAAATCTACAATAGAGTCTTCTTCATGATAATACCATGGGTTATGCATTTTTATTAGGGCAAAAGGACTTGCATTTTTCTGGATTCTTGATTTAAATATTAAATTAACTACACTGATACATGTCTATTCTGAAAAGATAAATGTAAATTTTCTTTTTAATTGATGGAGTCATTCTTCACTACCGGTTCCTAAAAAGAAGAAGAAAAAAGGAAGATCAGCAGTAACAATATTTTCTTTTAAAGTATCATACAACAATTCACACGACCATTTAAACAAGAAAGTACAAAATGCAGAATGTACTGAGATATCTGTGTACAATCAGCCCAACAGAAGCTGCACCTCTGAACCTGCTGAGGTCACCCACTCTCCCAACCATAGGGACTCTCCACTTACCAAGCAGCTCTTGAGATAATTCCTCATAGTTGCAAAATAATAAGAAACAAGCTTACCTCTACCAGCTTTTAAAACCAGTTCATGGAAAAAAAAAAAAATTATTCCTTCCCAGAACTTTCTTAACTTCTGAGCTATTCCCTTACTGCACACAGCACAAAACACTGAGAAAACTTCTGTCTTGAGTACACACCATTGTATCAGAGTACACACCATTACATCATTTCCAAGTGTGTTACTGCATTAGTGTGCATACATTCAGTGGTTTTATCATTTCTGCTTGTTTTTCCATACGCAACAAGAAAGTGCTGAATAGAATTGCAGATCTCCTGTTAGAGACTTGTAAGGAGCCAGACCTGAACCAGTCTACACCTCTTTGGGAAATGTCTCCCAAGCTGTGCAAGTAGTAGCTACACAGAGATGACCTAACCACATTTTCTACTACAAACAGAATTAATTCACAGTCCAAACTACATTTACATTGCCTAACATTGCAAGGATTCCTGCGACCTCTTTGAGCAGTCCTCACACATCTTTGCTCTGTAAATCTGTAGTATTTGCCAGCTGAAACAGAAAAGCTATAAGGCAGTACATTCTGCGTCTCATTCATTTCTACCTCTGCAAAGCTATAAACATTAAAATGACAAAGTCCCTTATTTCATTTGCATATCTTAGTAAAAAGCTGCTGGCAGCAATCCCAAAGGATGGGATGCAGGACATGCAGGACATGCCAAAGCACCAGGTTTGGGCTGGTGCCACCACCGAACAGCAGACAATACAGGGAACAGCTGCATCAGGGAACCTGGGCCAGGGGAAGGGCGTGCAGAGGCAAGCCTCCTTTGGATTTTTGTGAATTTAGACATGCTGCCACTGAGGAATAAAATACAACAATTGGTTAATATCCCATGAACAAAGCTTTTCAGAGGTAATGACTATTCTTTGCTCGTGTTGACTGGGCTAGTCTATGCTGTGACCCAGGTACGAATCCCAAAAAGAGAACTTAAGTTCTTAATTTCCTAATGAAGACAAGTGGGAAAGTAACAGCCTAAAAAGGTTCTGGGTGTCTAAACATTATTTTTTTGGATGTAGCCTTAGCTATTTCTAGCCTCTTCTTTTATCTCCTACTTAGGTTTCATGTCCTGGCCCCAAAGAGATCAGAAAGGCCAGGCGATCTTACAGCTGGGATAGCTGGAATCCTTTCACTGTTGTTTCCTATCCTCTCCAATAAAATACCACTTATCTCTTTTAAATCACTAATGCAATTTACATCGAATTCACAGCCAGATTCAACGAAGTGGACCTCGGTACAAAGTCCAGCATAAACTGAACTTTGTGTTTGCAAATGTTTCATACTTTAAAACTTCTGTATGAACTGTTTATTAGTAGGGTTCATTGAAGAAAATTCCAAAGGAAACTGTATTTACTCTATATAAGTACATCATGTCATTCTGCAACTTGATGTACCACCTTTGTCAAGCTGTATCCTTTTTTTTTGTGTCAAGATCATTATGCACAGTTTTTCGAACAATTTCAAAAAAACTCCGAAAAGGTTCACTATTTGACTGTTGCAGGAAACACAACAGTAAAAGGTAAGTCAATAACTGAATCCAAACAGAAAGTTCTTTGGACAAGCAATTTATCGCTGAAGCAGGCAGTATACCAAGGTTCACATTTAATGAGTAATACTGTAACAGACATTTCAGTGGCAAGGAGTAGCCTCTAATTTTGTACCTGAAATGAATAAACAGGGTAACCGGATTCCCCCCTCTTTACGACCTCCCTATTCTTTTGTATCTGAGCACCTCACAAAGAGGAATTATCTCATTATCATATCTTCCCAAATAAGAAAGGAAGTTTTACAGGCTATGTCCAGACTCCTCTGAAACAACAGCATGAAAAGTAGCTGTGAGCCAGGTGATTTCTACTTCTGACACTCATACTGTCCAATCTTCTGCCATGCCAGCAGTCTGCAGACCTGTCTGGACATCTTGGTGGTATATGAAGTCATCAGTAAGCTGAGATAAATGAGGAGCCACTCATCATCAAGCATGTCAGCATGCTCACAGTCTCATGATTAACTTGAATAAGGAATCTAGTCTTGTAAGAGCCTTGGAATGGCTGGTAAGACACAGGGTTTACATTTTGCTCATGGTAACCAAAAAAAAAAAAAAAAAATCTATCAGAGATTCACAAATCTGTATTCCCAAATGTCCAATGTCTTAATTCCAAGCACAAATTCCTGCTCACAGGTGCACATGAAATCTCTGTTGACGATCTCAGCCCTTAATATCCCCTATATTTTATGCATGATAGCACTCCAAAGGGCACCATAGTCTCATGTACCAGGTGGGGTACAATTAAGTGCCACAGGAGACAGTGTCTTATATCACTCAGAATTATATTATCCCCGGTCTTATTAAACATATGAGATCTAACATGACAGGAGCAAGAAGAGTAAAGGTTCTGTCAGCCAACATAAATATAAGCCTGCTCTAAAAACTAACGTACTTTTACAGAATTATTTTGTGATAAAGCAGAAACAAAAAAATGTGATTATCAAGGCCTTCAGTTCTCACAATACATTTAAAATGCTACTACAAAATGCAGACTTACCTTAATACTGGCCCTGGATACAGATTTTTCACTTTAAAAAGTTGTAGATTTGCATATTTGCACATTTTCAATCCATACCTTTACAAGACTTGTAATCCTCGAAAAGTTAAAGGGCTTACTGATATAACAGAAAGTGAAACTAAAATCATATGGAATCCATGTGACACAGTTAATGATTTGCTACCTGTCAAGAACAATCATTTTTATGACTATATTATAAAAATGTTATTCTAAAAATTTGGTTTAGAAGTCCCTGTCTATATTTAATACTGAGTTTGATATATCATAAAATTCCCTTCAATAAATTAATTTCATACTTTATTCCATAAAACTAAAGGGGAAAAAAAGTACCATTTTCCCTCTGTATGTTTATATATATGTGTGTACACATCTTCAAACTTAGACTTCAGTTTGTTAGACCAGTTGAACAAAAGCCATTAGATATTTATGGAAACATGTATGTGTATATGTGTGGTTATATGTATATGTTTAGATATATTAATTTATTTATTTGTATACACAATTATATATCTCAAAGATTTATGAAAAAAGAGCAATCTTTCTGGCTGTAGTTGAAAACCAAAGTACAATGCACTTTAAAATATGTAGAAAAAGTCAAGAAAACAAAAGTGATTCATCATACCCATCCTGGCTTTTATTCCCCTGACTTGATTGTTCCACTTGCACAAAATCCACTGGAACGAACTGGACCACTGGTTCTTCCCAACTTTCACTTTACTGGCACCACAATGAGACTGCAAGAGTAGCTGCAGACAAAACAAGACTGTGGCAAATTAACTGTGGATTAGACTATCTACATTTAGCAGCTTTTACCAAAACTGCCCCTCTCCATGGATCTGGGCCAGATTTGAAAAGCAACTGCCCTCCAGTATAACACAGATTTTTTTTAAATCCTAAAAAAATCTTTATTAATCTTAGTCAATGGTTAATATAATTCTTTTATGTATGAAAAGTTTTGTTCATCTGAGATATGTTCTCCCTGAATTATAAAAATATACATAGTTTAGCAGCAGAGCAACAAATACGCTATATACTGAGTTTGGTATGTAGTTTAAGATTCTTATAGATCCTACTCAGTTTTTATAAAGTTGTGATAGTCTTCGCAAGCTATTTGCCCAAATAGTGACTAAGCTCCTACAGCTTTAAAGGAAGGCATCTTAAATCAGCCAAGTCACAAACTCGTTGCTGTGACCTTTGTTATTATTAAAAAATGACAAGAACTCTATAGCACAGAGAGAGAGAGAGAAGGTTTGTGTATCTGATTCTTGGAGTGTAAATCAAGCAGCTCATGAGCTAAATTACTGGCCGGATGATTTATTTGTATTCTAGTTAAACTTGCCATCGAAGAAAGCACATCTCTAAATAGTGACAAAACTCTTAGGGTATTCAGTACACATTTTGTTCTTTGCTTCCAAATGGGGTAGGAAGGACCTTTTTTCTCTGTTTTGATTAGTGTTGACAGGACATTGGATATTTTCTCTTTGGAACAGTCCGCTTATTCCAGACATCAGAAACTAAGGTCCTCACTAAGGCTAGCATAGAAATAAACAGTATGAAACGCCAACCTGAAAAACCTTGGGATTTCTGAAGATTCATTATGTAATTGTCTTTACTTTTGATACTTAAGGCTTGCAGACAGTGAATGTTTTTGCCATTGGTATTAATGGAAGTTACAGAAGAAAAGTCTTGCCCAAGTCTTGTTTTCTTCTGTCCCTCCTGTTGCAGGGAATGATGAGGAGGTTAACTGGAAGAGCCAGCAGGTCAATGACTGGCTCCGAACTTGGTGCCACAGACAGGGTTTTGGGTTCTTCGATCATGGCCTGATTTACAGATCACCAGGCCTGCTGGCAGCAGATGGGAAAAGCCTGTCACGCAGGGGGAAAATGGTTCTTGGAACGGAGTTAGCAGGGCTC